CAGCTCCTCTAAATTCGTTAGACCGCGTGTGCCAGTATTCACTAGTGCGACCCGTAAATCTTACGATTTCATAAATTAATTATGTTACCACTAGTAATGTAGTATTATTATGAATTAGGTTCGAAAACTATTGCAAAGCGTGGCGATGCCAGTACTCAATAGATCTACTGTTTGACCTATTATAGAGGTGTGTTCCCTATATATTACTTAATTGTTTTATTGTTTTAACATGTGGTACACTGAAATCTATGGTTACTGTTTTATTGATGCACCTACTTAATGGTGATGGCTAATGGATTATGACTCCTATCTGATTATTGGTTTTCACTGGTATATGATTACAATGATTAAGGATTTATGGAAATTATGTCACTGTATAATTGTATTTTTAAGATACTGATTTATTAAGTACAGCTCTGATCAAGTTGGTAAATTCTTATGGACCTAATGTGACTCTTAGGTAGGCTCTGCGGCCATGAGATCATTCTCGGGTAGGCCTTGCGGCCCTGAGATTTTTCTTAGGTAGGCCCCATCGCCCCGAAAACTTTCTTGGGTAGGCTTTTAAACCCTAAGATGTTCCCTTAGGTTGGCTCTTTATAAAATGGTTTTTTAAACCACGAGTTTAAAAAAACTAAACTAAATTATGATTTATGAGATTTTACTGAACTATTACTTGATTAGTGTACCTACCATGATTTTATCGTACTGTTAGGATACATTGAGCCTAGCTCACTTTTCAAATGTTTTTCCCCTTTCAGATACTTTTGGTTAGATACCCAGGATCAAACACTTGGAGGATCGACACATTTTGTATAGTCCATCTGACTGTAATGTTTTTATATTGCAAGTTGACTTTATTATTGAAACATGGACCTTTATTTCGAAGTATTTGATTTTATAACGACTATTGCTTTTGATATTGATATTTGGTTTATTGTGATTTAGATTTTACGATATGTTTTAAAATTAATTTGTTACTTTTTAGTTTTATATTACAAGTTGAGTATTATTGTTATTTCTTTATACTTTTATATATGTCAATTTGTAATATGATTTAAGTTATCGAATAACGTTTTTAGAAAAAAATGTCTTTAAGAAACATGAATGTAATCTGCTAGACTTAGTCGAAACATATAAGTTGGGTTTAGGGGTTACATTTAATTGATATCAGAGCTTTAGGTTTTAAACCTAGGACTGTGTATGAGTTCAAACTGAAAATATGGTTTTGAAATGTTTTACAAAATAAGTCACTAAGGTCATGTCACAAAGTTTTTACAATTTTAATTGTGTTCAAGACTCCAAGTGTCAATCTAACCCTAGGTTTTATTTTATGTAGTAAACTCGAAATTCACCAAGATGAATGCTAGACGTGGTCGTTGAACTAGCCGTAGGCAAGGTCGAATGGCTAGATTTGTAGATCTGATAGATGAGATACTTGTAGATCCCCCGTCTCCGACAGATTATCCTACTCCTATGACTCCGACGGATCTACCTTTTGCCTCTGGTATTGGCATGACTACTCCGATTAGAGGAGCGATCGATAATGAGCCCGAGTTTACCGGAGTTGTATTAGATGAGAATTTTGGTAGATAGTTTCTGCAGTTGATTTAGGGAGCGATCAGAGCTGCTGGAGTTATATCCGATGTTCCTATTTCTCAGACTCTGATTGCCAATGGGGTCAGGATTTTTGGAGGACAGATTGGTAGAGCTCTTACTGAAGCGGAAGATTGGCTCCAAGATACGGAAAGACGTATGAATCAGTTGGGCTTGGACCCAACTAAGAGATATCTGGATGCGGTTGCGATGTTAGATGGTAATGTCTACACCTGGTGGGAGTCAGTGGTTAGTAGTGTTCCGACCGATCGTTTGACCTGGGATTTCTTTAAGGAGTGCTTTAGGAGTCGTTTTTTGGGAGAGCGTTATTTAGCTCAGAGACGACAACAATTTCAGGACCTGGTTCAGGGAGATATGACGATTTCTGAGTATGAGATCGAGTTCTTGAAATCGCTGAATTATGGATTCAGTCTGGTACCTACCGTGAGAGATAGATGCCGTAAATTTATCCTCGGACTCAGATATGAGCTGCGTAGACAGGTTGTGACCCACCAAGATGAGATTTTTGATGTGCTGGTGGGCAGAGCGAAAGATGCTGAGGAGGTGGAGGCTTTAGCTCCTGGTAGAGAGCGTGTCGATCAGGAGCGATCTAAGAAATCTTTTGGCCCTACTGTATCATCTGCACAGTCCGAGAAGAGGACTCTTACTTCGGTCTCTCAGAAGAGCAATAAACGTTTCAGGCCTACAACATCTTCACCTTCAACTATTAGTAAAGGTGGTTCTTCGGGTCCGCTTCAAGTGCCTCCTTGTGACTTTTGTGGTAAATGACACGTAGGAGAGTGTTATAAGAAGACCAACGTCTGTTTTCATTGTAGATCCAGTGGTCATTTTCGGAGGGATTGTCCATAACTAGCTTTTTCTGAGCAGACAACTACCCAAACTCCCATGCGTTATTACATTAAAGCCTCCAAAAAAATTACTCTTACAATCCAAATATCCAATTATTGCCCGAACCAATAGAATTTTCCTAATTAGAGATCCTAATCCTAATTAGAGAACCTAAATCTAAACCTAAAAAACATAAATCACTAAAATTTCTGAAGTTAATATTTCGGATGAAACTGGACTGTAAATATTAAAAAATAAATTAACGAACGAGGAAAAGGAGATCTAACATCATAGCCATAGAGATCTGCTTGAGATCGTTCACGACGTTCTTCATGTTCGCCAGTGATTGGGCGCAGAATATGATCGCTAGCCACGAGCTCAGTTTGTACTGCAAAAATAAACAAATAAAGGAGATGAAATTCAGATCTAAAAGCTTAGAGTCAATTAAAAGAGATAATTCAACTTCAAGAACAGGAGACAAATAGAGGAATAGAAGATGGACCCTGAACATAACGCCTGCGACTCCGAAGACTACGGCGATAAAACCGGAATAATCGACAGGGAGATCTTGCGGCGAAACCGGCTGACCCGCTTAAGGCTTTGCCGCCGAACGTTGTCTGGGGTCGTTGGCCGACGTTGAATTGTTATTGTGTGACATCTCCGTTAATGATCTCTCTTATCTCTCAGCTTTCTCTTCTCCCTCTTTTAACGGTTTTTCTTCTGTGTTGGTGCGACTCTCGCCAATGAAATATCAACGCGTCAAGCACGACATGGCAAATATATTCCCAAACCTCTTAGGTTTAATATAAAAAAAAAACTTCAGATAGATTTAAATTTGGTTTTCAATGACTGAAAAAAATATCGAACAAATAAATAAGTAAATAAATAAATAGTTGATGAATTTTATCCAGTTCTTTATTTATTTTTAATTAGTATTAATAAGGTATAACCTCTTTTGGCAAATAATAATAATAATAATAGTAATAAGAGATCGCCTCCAATTGTATATTTCATTACGTAAAACTCAACATTTTCGAGTTTTATTGTGAAATGATCTTCAATAGATCTTTAGGCATATTTCTAGCCTCTAATTTCGAATTCAATTGATGTTTATTAAATTTAAAAATTTAAATAATCAAAATTGAACGGCAAACTACCCAAACCCGATTACCCGAATTGATTTACCCGACCCATACCCAATCCAAAATTTAGTTAACCCAGTATAAATCCATATCCAATTTTACTCGAATCGAAAATAATCCGAACCGAATTTAACCCAAACTGAAAGTAACTCAAACCAAAAGAAACTCGATCTGAAAATAACCCAAACCAAAATTAATCCAAACCGAAAGTAATTCAAACTGAAAATTTATATATACTTTATTAGACTTACAACCGAATTAAACCTAAATGATAAGATTGACAAAAGACATTTTTTACAAAAATATATCACTAATTCTATATATACTTGATTAGACTCATAACAAAATAACCTGAATTGACATAATCTAAAGGTTGACCTAAAAGTCAACCAATCCAATATTGATCCAAGCCGAAAAACAACCAATCTGATGATCACCCTACCCGAAAACTAATCCACCCAAAAATTGGCTCGACCCGATACCCAACCCAATCTATCATACACCCAAACCAGATCCGATCTGAATGATCAACTTGCCACCTCTACCGAATATTAATTTTTTTTTACATTATGGCGGGATGAGCTGCAAATTTGTAAAAGTGGCATGTTCTATTTTTTTGTTCTTATGAGCGGAAGCATGTGTCACTCTCGCAAATTCCTCTCGTAGTGCATACACATATAATAATTATAAATAAATAAATAAACAGTAAATTTGACATTAGACACAGCACGGTTATGACATAAGCATGATATGAAATGAAAAGTAATAGCTAAAAACAATAAACAAAAGGAAAATACAAGATGAGAAGTTGAATTCATGAATCGTGAATCGATAGTAACTTCAAATAAATATTAAAGTATCCTAATCGTAATCAACATGATACAGATAAGCAAATGTTAAAATTGAACAAAAAGTAACTGTTGTAAAAATGATTATTCATTGAACTAACTAAACTCCGAGTTCACCTTTGCCTTAATTTAACTATTCAAACGTCGCCCCAAAATCAAAAGTGATCAATAAAATCTTTAACTAGTACTAGATCAAAAGATTCAACTTATGGACACAAAAAAACGATGATAAGATGCGAAAAGACCAGAAAAAGAAATATCTAAAACACTGAATTAACACGAACACAGCACAAATACAAAAATGTTCCAAACTATAAATAAAAAAGTATAAACTTACCAAAATTTATATAGACATACAATCGCTTTGACACAATTATAATATGATAAATATGCAATGCAACAAGAACACAAGTTGCTAGGTCTATAAGACATAAATGGCCAACGAGGAATCGAACTAAGAGAGACATTCTTCTCCTACATTTTGATCTGTGTGGTTCAATAAAGAAAATGGACTCAGAAAAGAGCATATAGGTGATTTTGCGACAACTGGGCCAAAATAAAAAGGGAATGCCAAAAGGTTTTTGACTTGTATTGCCACACATGAATTCTATTACATATATCCTATATATATATATACACTATAAAGAACATAAACAAGGAAAAGAAATCTAGAGCTGCCCATCTATATTTACAACAATTACATAGTATTTACAGCTAAGAAATCTTCAAATATTTCACCTATGATTTAACCAGTATCTAGTCAACTCTTGAGCCGGGAAAAACCAAATAACTAATCGTCAAAGTGAGAGACACTGTACCTTATCAGGAAGATTCCTAGGCATTGGTAGAGCAGAAACATATCTCTGGAGGAAGAATTTGGGAGGACTAGAAATTGCTTCAGAGGACGATGAAGTCTCAACCCTGTCAGCTTGCCCCCGCCCATAGAACTTGCCGAAATGATTGATAAGCAAAACCTTCTCCAGATAATGGCATTCCAATCTTAAGTCCAATATTGAGGCTCTCTTCTCCAGACTAATAACAAAAATAGGAAACATTAGAAGACAAGACAACCAGCACAAGAGGAGCTGCTTAGGGTGAAACCTTTTATAGGGTCAACATTGGGCAACCAAAGGTACTTTTTAAATAAAGTATACAACTAAACAGTAAAGAAAAAAAATAGATGCATAGTCTACTTGCGAGCAAAACATTTCCAATATATATATAAACCTTTTAATTTTATTAAAAAACCTAAACCAAGATATTATGCGTAAAACATATTGGTAAGAACTTGAACTGAGTTACCTGTGTAAATCATTTTCCAGTTTCTTCGTTCTGACAACAAACTCTTCTGCAGCCTTTAAGATGGACTGCATTCTCTCCTTAAGCATTTCAGAGAGGCTAAAAACAATTTAACAGAAACAAGAACCATTAGTATAAAAGTAGACTAACAGCGACTCCAGATGGAAGCCAGTAAAACACAGGATTCAGGGATTACAAACATAAGTAGCATGTTCTTACGTGCTTCCATTCTCAGAAGTAACAGCTGCATCACTTTCGGGTATATATGATGTACTGCATGCTTCTCCTAAGCCTAATCTGGCAACAAAATAGACCACAGTCTCGTAATTTTGGCTAGCATCTGCAGAAAGAACTACCCTTGGAGGAGCACAATGTAGTTGCTGCATAAGCTTTGTTGTCAAGATAAGCCTTCTTCTTGATCTAAGCACCGGTGACCCATCTTCAATCATTTCAGGTTCGTATTCAACCTGTGATCAAGACAAATATCTTTAAGAACTGCCATAGTTCGAATAAGGACTAATATAAAATAATAGTATGACAGTTGACACTGAACACACCTTCTCAATCAATCGATTTGCTGAATGTGCCCATTCCACCTCAGCCGCACTGTGATAACAGAAAACTTCAATATAATTCCAATAAAGAGGAAAATGCATAAAGATGGTCAGAGAAGAAAGCATCTAATTTCTTAATTTAGCAAATTGCTTTTGGCAAATATTTCAGTGTTTTAGGTCATTCGATGTAATACAAACAGAGACATTATATATATGATAAAAATTCAGCAAAATGAATATTTATCTAATCACCTGATGTTCTGAGGTCTTCTACAACCTTGTGTCACTTCTCTATGCCATGGTACAAGCTCAAATGTCATACTTTTACGCTTCTTTGCACTCACGACAATCAGGTTCTGGTTTGGAAGATCAGGATGAAGCAAGTGACGGGAGATATGTTTGCTTGCTATTGGCAAGAGGTTTGAGTTTTGCTGTGCATCACCCAGCTGACTAGCATCAGCAGCATTAACTTGCTCATTAGAATCAAGAACATGTAAACCATCAGGAGGCCTACTAAAGATGAATGCTTTGTCCGTAGCCTTCATCATGGCAATTTTCTGAGCGTTGTAAATACCATTTTTAAATGCCCCACGCTGATCAAACCAGGATGGAGTCATCTGGGGTCTGATCTGAGAGTGTTCACCCCTCAGACTACCAGCTAAATTATTAGCATTGCTGACATGCAGGGAACCATTGTGAGTAAATGGCATCTGCTCAATAGCAGATAACTGTGTCTCATGGTAATCTACAGCATTTGATGACAAGCTTAGCATCTTAGAATCCCTAGAAGGTACTATAGGACAATTCACTTGGGCATCTCTCATCATATTACTGGATCCATAAGGCGACTCATCTGCACCTTGAAATACCTGTTGAGCATCCAAACTAGACCCTGGAGTTGGACCTTTAAATCTTTTCGCACTCCTATTACTTGGATCAGCGTCTATATTTTTCATGGCCTGCATCTGATGCAACAATGAATACTCCTGATGAACAATATTATTTGGTCTTAAAGAACGGCCAAGAGCTTCAATGTCTCTCTGCACGCTTGCAGGATTTTGGCTGGCATCAGTCTCTGGCAATAACTGCAGACCTTTGGCTGGCTGTTCTCCTACAACAGAATTCTGTGGTTTAGCAGATCCTGCAGGGAACATGGTTAGCCAACTTCCTCCTGCAATTTTTTCATCTAGTTTCTTTGCTCCAGGAAGAGCTGTTTCTGAGTTACCATTGGACTGTTGATGGCTCTTCAACAAATTCTGTGAGGCATGAGAAGACTGAGTTCCTAATAGATGTGCAGCTGATACACTGGGCCATACATTAGGCATTTTGTACAAATCACCTTGCCATGATGATTCGGCCATAGCAGAGGGTTGGAAAGCTGGCATAGCCTCCAACACCGGAAACTGCTGGTCTGGATCCCTTTCATGGTTTTGGCTGCCACATCTTGGCCAAGAAGTGTCTGAAGAAGCAAGGTCATTATCTATAGCAGTTTCAGGTGTACAAGGTGATATCCTTCCCAATGGACTAATTTGGGCTCTCTCAAAAGAGTCATTAATCCACTTCGATTGAGATGCCAACCCACTAAAATATGCATTAACATGTTTATTTGGTAATACCTGATTACCCACATCCGTAGCAAGTTGGCGCTGCAGATGACTTTCTAAATAAGGATAACCAGAGGTAAAACCCGCAGAAACATTTCCCGAGTTGTTTTGTGAGGTTTTATGGTTGGTATGACCAGAGACACTTGGAATATTATTCCTGATATCTCCCCGTGATGCTCCATGAGTTGAGAACTGAACAGAAGCTGTTGCACCCAACAAGGCATGACCCTTCCTACCTACCTCAGGAGACGTGTGAACTGACTTTATAGAATTAACTCCTTGTGGAGAACTTTGAGATAGAACTGGACGGTCTGGAATGGTAAACCTTTGAGATGGGGGACCTAGCTGTAAACCAAAACTTTGAGCAGCAGAATGCCTATAATGTTGAAATTGGCCTACTGATCCATCAGAAGATTCTGCATCTGGCATTTCAGATGATTGATTGTGTTCAGAAGAGCTTAAGTGTGTCGCAGTACCAGGTTCCCTTTGTTGGTCAACCTTTTGAAGACGCTCCAGCATGTTTTGACTACCAAATTGAGGTATTCAGAAGACCAAAAAAAGGTAAAAAAGGAAACAGAACACCACTAATGATTAGGGAAGCAGAAGAGTCACCATTACCAAATGAAAATCAGATTTCAAATATCAATATGATCAAGTTTTCACTCTAATTGTTTTAACAACTGAAATGAATGTTTGCTACAGCCAAGTTTCATCGACGATTAAAATTGAGAAAAGAAATAAATTAAAGTCAAGCTAAAAGTTGAGCACTGCAAATATTCAACTACCTGATTGAAGTTGTCTTGTTTGGCACAAAATTTCCAAAAGATCTGTCGGGTGCAGAACCAGAATTTGAGCTTTTCAGGGCACCTCATCTACTTGAATGCCAGGAAAACAACCCTAATATACAGAGGGCAGAGAATGTTTAGTCATCAAGAGACTTATATTCTAAAATTAAAGTAATTTTCCACTTGTATTCTAAAATTAAAGTATCTTCCAGAGAAATAGTTGGAAATTTCACACTTTTCACATATATGGCCAAAAAACAGAAAATAACCTTCTTAGTTTCTGAAGACTCCCAGCAGCATGAACAGTATAATTTGACTGCAGAAAATATCCTTGGTTAGAATCTTTCATTCCTTGAGAAACACGTTGGGCTATAGCCTGCATATGTGAAAGATTTTTAGTTCCATAAGAAGGTTGAACTTCACCATCCAGATCCCGAATGGAAAAATTATGCGAATTAACAGGAACAGATGACTTCTGTTCTACTGCCCGTGGATTGTTTGCATCTAGCCAGCCATTGTCCATAATGCCACCATGGATGTATGGTGAGATATGTTGGAGTGAAAACTGTCATTTGAAGTGTCCTTGACAGTGATGTTCTCCTCCATATTTGCTTTATACAGTCCTTTGTCCAAGCAGTTATTTCTGGATGAATCAAAAGATTGAGGGCTCTTATCCAGATTTTGCTGATACTGTGATGACCCCCTGGTTAGTCCAAAGTTTACTTTAGAATCAATATTTTTCCAGAGATTAAGGCTATGACCATTTGGAAGTTGCTGACAGCTTTCCTTGTTAACCCTTATCATTCTCGTGTCTGTTAATGCAGCAACATTACCCAGATCAGAACCTTCTATGTTCACTTGTGGGCTTCCCAAGCCAGTAATCACATTCCAGGGTTCAATATTTTCTTGAACAGAAAGATCAAGGCCAGACCCATGGCCTCTCTTCTCAGACATGACACCCTTGTGATCCCTATGAGAAGGTTGTGATGAACTTTTGATATCCTGACTTTTTGATATGGCCCCACCACTACGTGATGCAGACTCAATGAAGTTCCCACCATTTGCCTTAGTATAAGGTTGAACACTAGCATTAAATATGGACATGGTTTGGTGGCCTGAAACACTCTTTGCAGTTGCTTGCACATCAGGGGAGTGAGCACTTTCAGCTACAGGCTTTTGTAGAGCACTGTGACCTAACAATTTAGAATTCAGTGTGACGGCATTCTGCAAGTTGTTATCAATTCCAGGCAATTGACGTTTTCTGCCATCATTGGCAATTGAAGGTGGCATGTTTCCACTAGGAGGTTCACTACTATGCACAGCCAAACCACTCCACTCTTCCTGTACCCCTATGTCGTTACTAGATGTTTCTGCTACAGCAGACTGCATGAGTGCACTCCAACTTCCACTTTGCAGAGAAGGAAATTCCACAAAAGAATCTGTACCATCCAAAACTGCACCCATGTTGGTGTTCTTTCCAAAGATATCCCATGCACTGTCATCTGAACCAAACAAAATCTTTTCTTCGGTTGGATCTAGCGAAGCCACATTCTGAGAGTGCAGAGCCTGAATTTCTGACTTTTCCAGGGATGTTTCTGATTGACGAAGATGTTCTTGCCTCCCATGAGAGACCATTCCTATATCTTTTAGCTGGATAGTCATTTGCTGCAAGTTTTCTGAATTGAATACAATATTTGAACCTTGAAGAGCTGCATCACCAAATACATTTTTAAACTGATCACCCTGTCTGGAAACCAAAGCTCCATCTTGCAACCCAAATTGGTCTGGAAACATAGCAAACTGACTACCTGGAAATGAATTACTGCTAGCTGGCATCAGCTGTGATAAAGGCTTATCTATTTGGACATATAAATGTTGATATGGATTTCCCCATGCACCACTGTTAAAGACCCCATTAAATGATTGATTATCCTGAGGTGGAACCAAACCCACCAAACGCGCCTGCCCTTGCTCAGGGGAAGACATAAATCCACCAGAGCATTCTGGCATGGCAGAAAAGGCATCATGTTGCAGCCAATTTGCATTTGTGTCATGATCTCAGGCTGCCACGAATAATTTGAAGCATCAAGGACAGGAACACCATTGATAGGAGCTGGGGGGAAATTATCTGATCCCTGTTTCACAAAAGAGGAAACCTGATTCACAGAGCTCAACTGCCTTACTTCAGGTAGCGGAAATTGTGGATTTGGAAGTTGTTGTCTCTGGAATTCCTGTATGTTCTTTAGAATGGACTGTTGCTGTAACAGTTGCATGTCCGTCATCCCAGATTGCTGCTCTGGTAAAGGCTGGATCATGCCAGGATGTTGTCCATTAACTTGATGTTGCCCTCCATGAAAGTTATAATTAATGGGAGATTCAGTATATTCCAACCTAAACGAATTCTTTTCATGAAGATCGGGGCCATATTTCATAGGTGAATCAAGAACTGACAAGCCTCTAGATACTGCCACTCCCAAAAGGTTCATTTCATTCAGCCTTGCCCCGAAAGCCCGATGTCCTTGCATATAGCCATTTGCAATTGATGATTGATCTTGCGATTGATTTCTGGCAATTTCAGGTCTCATACCAGATTGTGCGAAGTTCAGCCCATGCTGCAGGCTTGAATTCTGACCACTATGCCCTCTGTCAAACTCAGCTAATCCCAAAAGAAAATATAATCATGCCAAAAATGGTTTAGAAGCATGTCACAACAATGAACTAAACTTGCATTACTATAATTGTTGTAACAGAAGTAGAAACAAAACAAACAAAATGCCTTACCAAATTGATTTACACTGAAATTCTTCACATTTGAAACAGGGTGTATCTGGCTTCCAACAAAGTGATTGTTACTTAAACCATGCCAGGTACTGTCAACCAGCTCTGAGTGATGCTGGCCCAGGGACAAGCTCTCTTGGCCAAGGAAATTATGAATACTGTCACCGAATCCGTTGCCAGGCATAGATAAACCAAGCCAAAAATATTCAGAAGATAAAATTTCATGACAAGAAAAGTACTACCTACAGAAACAAGAATCTAGTTAAACTTTTCACATGCCTGCAGTACCATTGCAGGGCAGACACCGTTATGAATCCTTCTTTATTCCAACTGTGATAGAAACAAACCTCTCGTACACATCAAAAATACACCCCAGTTGCCCTGTTTCAAAACTCAACCTTATCCTGCATGCATAAAACCAATATATCATCTCTTCGTGGAATCAAAAGTGCAACTATCCCAGAATGAAAATTGTTCCACCTTTTTTTTCATTTTGAAGGGAAGGTGCACGAAACAAGTATAAAAATGTCAAAAAAAAAGGCCATCCAACAAACGTATCAAATTGCAGACAACATGATATTGATACGGAAAATCGTGATCCTTACGATCTTAAAAATTTTAAAAATTATTTTAAAATTCAAGTATGTTTTAATCTTGAAGAGAAGCTTAGGGGCTTACTTTTATCAAACTATACCTATTTGATTCTTGGGCAACAAAATCATGCTTTGTACTTCAAAGACATCATGTGTCAAAGTCATTGTTATATCAAATGTTAATCAGTTTGGCATGCACCAAAAGTGTCATGTTTGAATTATTTTTAGTTTCAAGAAAAAAAAAAAGTTAATTCACATTCTTTTTTTCCCATCACCATAAACAGAAATTCTAGATGTACATCTCCTTCCCTCATGTAGTAGTTAATAACCATGATGTGCTACAGATATGCAATAAATTGGATTTTCTTGTATGAAACTTCTATATCACCAAAAGTCAATGGATTTGCATTGCTTATTATACTATATCTCAAACCAACTAAGAAAGCAGAATAAAAAAATATATTGCAGATATAAATTGTTCTTGGACACATTACGCACCTTTACAATAGTGCTCAGTGTGCTGAAATAAATCCATTGACTTACAAGTTCACCATGAATTCATCATAAGGGAAGTTGATGTATCACAACATAATATATAAAGTCTTTTTTTTATTATTATTAATGGCATTATTTTTCCTTTCTTTCTTATCAATTCAGGTAGCATCCTCATTAATCAATATGAAACAGTACAAGGCTCAATTTTTTTGACTAAATTAAAGTTAGATTCATTAAAGGGAAGTTCTGCTGTACGGCAACCTAGTTTAAGCCTAAGGAGCGGCAGGGCATAACATTTTCGGTTGGCAACTGAAAAATGTTAAGAAAAAGTTAACATTTTAGTTCGTGCCTAACCGAAATTGTTATGCTTTTTATAACATATCAGGTTGCACCCCTTCCCTGCAGTTCCTTAGCCTTAAATTAGGTTGTTGTCCCTTAGACATTCCCTTCACTAAATCACTAAGAAGCTGGAAGTCTGGTAGAAAAAAATATAAATAGGAACAACAGTAGTCAAAAGAAAAAGAGAATGATACCTCCATTAAGAAAAACAAGAATCAAATGCTGTCATTTCAAGCTCACTGAACAACAAATATCATAGAATGAAGAGAGAAGCTTAAAAAGTAGCCTAAGCAAATTCTACATGCTAAGTAAAAACACAAATCCACTACTAATGAGAAATGTAAGAAACTAAATTAAAGATAAGAGCAAAAAAAGAAATTATCATATCTTCATAGGAAAACTTATATAACCTTTTGAAAAGAAAGAAGAGAATAACTACTTTAACTTCTCCTCGAATTAAAATTTTTACTTCCTCCGTAAAAAGTGCCCTGCAACCTCCATTCCCTTAGCAACTAAAGAGCCTCTAAAACTATAAAAACATGTCAGGTAGCTCGCATTTCTAACCAAGACCACAAAAGATCGAAGGGTAAACAAGTAAATGTCATCGGAAAACAAAAAAGACAATATAAGTAACACAACTGCACAACTCTAGAATACCTTTGCGAATATTCAGCCTCTCAGTGTTATTAAAGTATTAGGGTTTCTAGGGAGAGAAACATGAGAAATGAACTTACAGTTAAGCAGATAAGCCTTTAAAATGGAGTTCAAACAACCGATCCTTGAAGAACACCAAAACTATGGAGTTAGGGTTTGAATGCGAAATAAACTTTTAAACAGAGAACTGTTTTTTTATAAAAAAAAGAGAAAATTCTTTTTGGTTTATCCTTTTTTTTAAAAAAATATCAAAATAGTTAAAGTGATAGAGATAATGTAAAATTTTCAACTACCGGAGGATCAAAATTGGCGTTCGGAACCGAAGGTTAGCTATGGCGGAACGAATCTGAGGTTTGGAGTCGAAGCTGAAAGAGAGGTTGAACAAAGGCGAAAATAAGGTTTTTCATCTCTTTACTATGTTAAAATTTAAAATTTCATCCCTATAATCTAATTTTTTACATAATTCATTCCTTTAATTTTATAATATTATCAGTTAGTTAAAAATAATTATTTAAATTAATTAATTAGATTTTTTTCCAAAAAATATGTCAAATAAATATATAAGGATATTTTTAAAAAATCTAACTAAATAACTTAATCTAAATAATAAATGTCAAACTAATTTTGAACGGAATAAGTAATAAAACTGTAAAATAGAACATAGGGTTAATAATTTGGACTGCTAATAACATTTTAAAAGTGGCTAAATCAAATTATATCAAAATATAGTATAAAATTCAACCTTAATCTAAAACAGAGTATAGGGACTGAAATCATAGTTTGACCTTGAAGAAGGATAAATGGCGAGGCGTGTTATTTTGGGATCATGGGCAGTAAAAGGATGAGTGAAGGTAGAGATGAAATTGGTGATCGAGCAAGGATAATCGTACACGTGGAGTATCTCATGCCTCTGTATTTTAAAAAAATTTAATAAGATCCTCATATTATTTTTCTTTTAATATAACCTTCAACTTTAAAATCAAATTCAATATGATTATTTGACGAACGTTTTCCTTCATTAACTGTTATAGTAATGATATGACGATCTACGGTACTGATGTGGTAGTTTATTACAAATGACATGACAAAAGAGTTAAATTGATTTTTAAAAAATTAAGGGTTTATTTTTTTTAAATAAAAATATTTAAAATTATTAAATATTCAAAATATTAAATATAAAAATAATGAAAATAAAAATTGAATTATTAAAAAAGGTAAATATTCATATAAAAATACTAAAATTATTATAAAAAAATTAATATATAGCCTAGGTTATAAAATGATAACTTATAAATTATCAAAAAAAAATTCTAGCCTCTTTCTTCCTCCTCCTCTCTCCTTTTTTTTATAACTTGTGTTAATTTTATTGATCAATCCAACTTTTTTTTCTTCTTTAATTTTGTTTAACCGCCAATGGCACCAGTTTTGATGCTGGTTGCCTCCCGTCAGTTATCTTTTTTCTTTTAGTTTTTTTAATAAGAATAATTATGTCTTTGTGACATGTTCTCTGCCTTCATGGCACGTTTATCTCTGTCTTTTTGGCACGTTTTCTCTGCCTTTTGGTAGCTTACGATTTTTTCCTTTTTTTCATTTATCTTTTTTCACAGGGTTGCATTTGACACTTCCACAACTGCTTAAAATGGCGCTTATTTGTTATCTTGATGATATTCCCTGCTTTGGGCCTTAGATTGATTTGGATACACATTTTGCGTTCGTGGATAGTTTTCTCGCGTCGCTTGAATCTGATTTTCAATTTGCCAGTGATCTTTCAGTAGTTTTATCCCCTTTTGTGATTCGTTTACCGATGCAATCAGATTTGTTCGTATCATTATTTATTCGAGCATTGGTTAGGTTTTTTAACATTTTCCTTTTATGGTCCATGTGTGATTTAGGTGGCTAGTTTTTGTATTAATGGTTATAGGAAAATGTTCTAATTATAATTTAGTTTACGTTTACGTTTATACACTTAAATCTTCATTGTAATTCTGGATATTTTTATTTTTAATAAAACTAGCGGCTTTCTATCAAAAAAATAAATTATAAAAAAATTAAAAATATTTTTAAAAAGATATATTATACATAATATATGCATGTAATGTATATGCATATCATCAACACTTATACAAAATATTTTTACTGAATTAATTAAGATTTATAAATTTTGGATTAATCAAAATTTACTACGTATTCTAATTATATTTTATTTTGAAACTTATTATATAATTATCTTCTAAATTAGTGGAGACTTAAAAAAATAATTAGAAAACATAATAAGTTTCGAATAATAAAAAAATTGTAAGTCTCGACTAATTTAAATTTTATAATTCTCGATTAATTCAGTAATAATACTTTATATAAGTGTTGATAATATGTATTCATGTTACATGTATATGTTATGTATAATATATCTTTTTAAAAATATTTTTAAATTTTTTGATAATTTATAAGTTACCATTTTATAACCTATAATATATATTCAATTTTTTAAAATTTTTATAATAAGTTTAGTATTTTTAATATGAATATTTATTTTTTAATAATTTAATTTTTATTTTTGATATTTTGATATTTAATTTTTTAAATATTTGAATAATTTTATATTCATAATTTAAAATATTTTTTTATATTTAAAACAAATTAAATAAGTTCTTGAACTTTAAAAAAATCAATTTGACCTTCGAACAAAGTTAAAAAATCAATTTAGTCTATATGTTACATCATCCGCTACAGTGGAATGTCACATCAATATCATGGACCGCCACGTCAACACTATAATGATCAAAAATAGAAAATATTTGTCAAAAAACTACATTAAATTTTTTTACTTAGATGGAGGACCACGTTGATAGAAAAATAGTAATAGAACCTATTATTTTATTTTAAAGTAAAGAGGCTTGGGGTGCCTTTTTGTCAGGGGCGGACCCAGGGGGTTGTCAGGGGTAGCCCGGGTAACCCCTCAAATTGTGAGGAACATTAATCAAATGATATTATTTTAGTATTTTTATATATATATTTTGTGATTTTTAGGTAGAATCCCTATATTTCAGATAAATTCTTATAGAAAAAAAATTTATACAACAAAATTGTCTACTTAGTGTTAATTTTTTCTAATTTTTTTTAATTAATACAAGTGTCACCTTTAATATTGCACAACCCTTAAAAAAATTTATAAGAATTTTTTTGTGCAACCCCTGAATTTTTGTCCTGGGTCCGCCCTGCTTTTTGTCAAAGTGATTTTTATGATTTTCAAATATGAATAATTTTATATTTCTTTTTGTTAAAAATCCTTACGAAGCAAAATATGTATTTATATTATTACAGCTAATTCATTTATTTATGATTTTTAATATCATTGAGATTTTGTTAACATTCCACTAAAATCCTTAAATAATTTAGGCAGATCGGTCGAGACACTGAATTTTTTGTCTGGATTCCGAGAATCTCGTCATCAGTCATTTAACAATAGCGGGCAATGAATTCGTCAAATAATTTTAATGGTAAAAAAATTTAAATTTGAATAATTATATATATAAAATACATCTATATTATTAATGATAAGTTTGTTACTTTCGACGAGTATCGTTGAGCATCACTAACAATGAGTATTGATGAGCATTATTAATTTAATTTATAAAAGTTTAAATTTTTGAAAGACTCAACATAAAATTATAAATTAATTAAAAATTTAAAGATAAATTATTTAAAATAAAATATTAATTATTGTTATCAATATTTATTTATATCGATGTATATCTCTATCTTTTATCTCTATCTATAAGATGTGGTTTTGATATATTTTATTATTTATCAATTAGAGTTAGAATTCTATATGATATCTATTCCTTGTACTTATAAATATGGAGTTTAGAGAAAACATTATACACAATTCAGATTGAGATAATAATATTGTTCTCTCCCCTTGTTCCTATATATTTTGTTTCTTGTTCTATCTTATTGCTTCGTTTAGATTATTTCATAACATGTTATCAGTGCGACTTGCTCAAAAGCAATAATCTATTTAGATTGAAGAATTGATTTATTATCCACGACTCTTTATTCAAGATCTTAGATGATGAAGATCGAATTTCCGGTCATATCAATATACTACAATCCCAGAAAAGTAAATTTTGTATGTATCAGTATATTCTATATATTTTTATTATTTTTAAATATCAATCGTATATTATGATATTGGGAAAAAATATTATGTTGTCGACAGTCGTTTTCGTCTGAATTTGGTTTCGTTATAATTATATTATATTATATTATTATAATTAATAATTATAATTTACAGGCCCAATTACAACTCGAAGGCCCAAATACAAAACAAATTACAACCGAAGCCCATGTTACAACCAATCCCAGCAGATCCGGACCCGGTTCCGACGCAAATCCGACCCGAGCAGCCCAACAGGCCCGAGAAGCAAATCCAAGCTTGGTTAGGGTTTCACACATGTTCGAGCACCGCAACAGATCTCAACTGTTAGATCTAGAGAGATCCAATGACCCTAAACGTGACCACAGAAACTCTAGGGTTTTCATTACAACTCTAGGGCTATTCCGGCCGTCGCCATAGAGTGATGATGCCCCCCACCGCCTCCAAACACTCCAACCAGCAGTTACCACGGCACCACCACCTCATCACCGGATCAAAGAGATCTGGGTGCATTTAATGCACCCAGTCTATCCACCACACAGATCACTATCCCTAGGGTGGGTCACCACCGTAGCTCCGGTGACTCACCGGGGTGCACTCTATTAACCGATCCAAAGAGGGATTCGAAGAACCCTATAAATAGGGTCAAACCTACAAAGAAAAAGGAAAAAGAGCAAGCAAATGAACAACCAAGCAAATACCCAAGAACCAAAACCAGTAAAGTATAAAAAGAGAGAGTGAGGAAAGCCTTACTGTCGTCGGAGAGCCCAAGCGTCGCCGGAGAAGTCGAACTTCGAAGGTATAAATCTTATATCTACTTCGATTTAGGGCTTTTTAGGGGTAAAGGTTATCAGATTTGGCTTTAGGATAAAATGGGGTTAATTTGGTGTATTAGGGTAATTTTTTGCCACCGTGGGTGGTGGCCGACGACGGCTATCGACGACGGTGCATGGTGGCCAGCCGGTGATCGATTTCTCTCCGACGAGGGAAATCTAGAGAGATGCGAGAGCTTTTCTCTCTAAGAGAGAGAAGCAAAGAGGGAAAATGAGGCTTTAGGCCAGT